CTGGGATTACAGGCACGCGCCACCATGCCCAGCTAATTTTTTGTATTTTTAGTAGAGACGGGGTTTCACCATGTTGACCAGGATGGTCTCGATCTCTTGACCTCATGATCCACCCACCTCGGCCTCCCAAAGTGCTGGGATTGCAGGCTTGAGCCACCGTGCCCAGCCCAGTTTCTATGTCTTATGAAGGCAATTAACAGAGATTAACTAGGGTTACACACAGAATTACTGGTGAGTTCTCATCACTGAAAGCAACCTCACAGGACAGCTGTTAGGACCAAATGAGATATGTAAGATAAATTCCTTTGAAAAATATAAATCACCTACAATCATAATCTGACAGTATTGTTATAATCACCACTATCGTCTAATACATTACCTTCAATTCTTTCCTTCAAAGGTAAAATTATCATAATAAAACATTTTCCCCTACATTTTGGAAATGAGAAAACTGAGGCTCAGAGAAATTATCTTGCTTAAAGTCACACGGTTACCAAGTGGTAAAGCTAGGACTCAAATCCTAGTCTAGGATTTGAAGCTAGGATTCAAATTCCATAATGGTTAAAAACATGGTTTTAGGAATTAGAAAGACTGAGGAAAAAGTTTGATACTTCCACTTACTAACAGTGTGATCTGGGACCAATATTCTAGTCTCTCTAGACTCAATTTCTTCATTTGTGAAATGGAACATGATAGTACCCACAACTCATTCATTGAGATAATATACGAAGCCCTCAGTATAGTATCTGGCACATAGCAGGTACTCAATAGATGTTAGCAACTATTGTTCTTATCCAGGAGGATGGGGATAAAGCACAGGGAAAGGGAAAGTTGGAGACAGAAGACCATATGAAAAAGAAACACCAGAAAGTTCTGGTGTTTTGTTTTGTTTTGTTTTTTGAGATAGTCTTGCTCTGTCACCCAGGCTGGAATGCTGTGGCAGGAGCTCGGTTCACTGCAACCTCCACTTCCTGGCTTTGAGAGGTTCTCCTGCCTCAGCCTCCTGAGTAGCTGAATTACAGGCATGCACCACCAGTCCCAGCTAATTTTTGTATTTTTAGTAGAGAGACGGTTTCACTATGTTGGCCAGGCTGCTCTCAAACTCCTGACCTCAGGTGATCTGCCTGCCTCAATCTTCCAAGGTGTTAGGATTACAGGCATGAGCCACAGGGCCCGACCTAGTGGTTCTTAACTACCTCGAATATGTTGTGCTGTTACATATCCCTTCTCTCCTGCAAATGTCTAGAAAAGAGACAGCCTCTAGAAGGCTAGGAAGTGTGGCACACTCCCTCATTATAAAACCACTATAAGTCTGGGCATGGTGGCTCATGCCTGTAATCCCAGCACTTTGGGAGGCAGAGGCAGATGGATCACCTGATGTCAGGAGTTCAAGACCAGTCTGGCCAACATGGCGAAACTCTGACTCTACTAAAAATACGAAAATCAGCTGGGCATGGTGGCGCATGCCTGTAATCCCAGATACTCGAGAGGCAGAGGTTGCAGTGAGCCAAGATTGCACCATTGCACTCCAGCCCGGGTGACAAGAGCAAAACTCCTTCTCAAAGAAATAAAACAAAAAAACCCACCATGCAAAATGCTTTGCTTATTGATGTCTGCTTCATCTCTATCCTTATTTACCTTCCCATGTCCTGTAGAGTGAAAGTTCCTTTCTGAAACTTTTGCGCCTAGCATGGGGTTCAACCAAAGTGGGAAGTCAATAAATGTTTTTAAATTAATAAAAGAATGGTTGGTAGAAAATCAGCTTAAAATTACTAAACTGATAAAATAAATAATTAGTCCTTAAGGCTGGGTTTCTCAACCTTGGCACTAATGACTTTCAGATTGAATAATTCTTTGTTGTTGAAGGACTATCTTGTGTATTGTGGACTGTTTAGCAGCAACCCTGGCCTCCACCTATTAGATGTCAGTAATACCCCCTCCTACAGTGGTGACAATAAAATGTCCCCAGACATTGACAAATGTTCCTGGGAGTGAAGGAAGAACAAAATCACTCCAGTTAAGAGCCACTGCCTGGAGAAGTAAGCAATGAAAAGGCCTTTATTTGTTGCCCAAAAGTATGCCAAAATTCTAGTTCTTCTGAGAAGTTATTTTTTGGTTTTACTTAATCTTGTTACTCAGGTCCTTTAAATATATAGATGTAATCTGTAGGAGGTTCTCCAGCCCCTTGAGAAAGGCTTAATTACCATATTCCAGAACTTGTCAAATGCAACAAGGAAGCCTGTACAGACGCCCCGAAGTCCCTTGAAAGTGCGGATGTGAACATTCACCTTCACCCCTTCCCGGATACAGCGATGGAGTTCACCCAGAGGGCTACCTTCATGCACTGAAACAAGAAAAGAACAGTCAGGACAGTATGAACACCTGCCCTCATTCCCAGAATTAATAGCCAAGACCACCCAACTTCAGCCAGCAATATGAGGCCGCGTGGTGGAATGACAGCCTCACTATCGGAACAGGAAGTTCCAATGGGCAACATGGCTTATACGGCCAACACACAATGAAACGAGACTAGATTCCAACAGAATGTGGATAAACCATATGTATGGATATTAGCTAAATGGTTCACTACCGGTATATCTTTTATTCCATGATGTCACTAATTCTAAGATGTACCATCATTTAAAAGCTTTTTGGGTTGGCCAGGCACAGTGGCTCACGCCTGTAATCCCAGCACTTTGGGACGCTGAGGTGGGCGATCACCTGAGATCAGAAGTTCAAGATCAGCCTGGCCAACATGGTGAATATTCCCCCTACTAAAAATACAAAAATTATCGGGTCATGGTGGCCCATGCCTGTAATCCCAGCTACTCAGGAGGCTGACGCAGGAGAATGTCTTGAACCCAGGAGGCGGAGGTTGCAGTAAGCTGAGATCCTGCCACTGCACTCCAGCCTGGGTGGCAGAGGGCAACTCTGTCTTTAAAAGAAAAAAAAAAAACTTTTGGGGGGGAAAAAAAACCCACACATTAAATGTATACATTAACAGCCAAGATTCTTCTCAATTCTGTGCCTTAAGACAACTCATCAATCACATATCCAGCTTGAGTCTTCTAAAAAACCAAAAACCTTGTTCGCATGTTCAAAGGAAACAAACTGTGCACTCTGCCCTTAAACATGTGCAATCCTGTTAGAAAGAAAGGCCTTTGACCCCACCAAAGCTACTCCATGCACAAGCTCTCTGGGGTCACTAGTGTTCCTGGGAGGAAAAGCACTGGTTGGAGCCCAAGCCCTGATGGTGTAAAAGGCACCTGCTGAGTATCTGGCTCCCAGAGCACTACTAATAAGCATCATGTGAAAAGAGCAGGAAAACAACTCATGGGAAGAATATTGGGACTATGAATTTCAGCATTTATTATGAAGGATTCTATTCTCAGAGCGTAGGAGCAAAGATGAATTTTTATTATTTCATGTTAACTTCTCTCTCACATTATGCTGGCTATGGTATATAAAACCTCCCAAAAGAAAAGCACACACATTCTTTTTTCCTGAGACAGGTCTCACTGTGTCACCCAGGCTAGAGTACAGTGGCACGATCACACTCACTGCAGCCTTGACATGCCCGGTTCCAGCGATTCTCCTACCTCAGCCTACTGAGTAGCTGGGACTACAGGCATGCACCACGCCCCACTAATCTCTCTCTTTCTCATGTGTACACAGTGTTGGTCTTTCCCAAGTTTGCAAGGCAAAATTCTGTAGAAAGTTTTTTTTTTTTAATCAAGTCTTAGAAGTCTGGTATAGAGAATATTTGCCATTGACAGTAAACAAATAAAAAAGCTCTCCTGCTTTGTTTCTAGTGGCATAAAGAACAGCCCTACACTTCCATTTGGATAACTAAATTGGTTCTTCCTGAGGCCACCTTATCCCTCTGTCATGAATTGGCTTATAAACGATGGCTGCGATAAATTAATAAAAGATTCTTAGAAGAAAATGACTTAGCAGATGAACAGGAGGAGTTTATATCATATTAAAGGTGTGGCAATAAGCCAGAGTTGGAAGCAACATGAAACACCGACCTTGGAAAAGACCATGAGAACCTTAGTCTGACCATCATCATTTACCTCTTTTCTTTTTTTTTTTTT